AAAGAATTTAAAGTTCACATTTCTAGCAACGTTCTGTTACTAATGCCACATGTACACACTGAGATACAGGCATCCTCTATAGCTTCCCACCCCTTCCTCCTGAGTCTTCACCAGAATAGCCTTTTGCAGCCATATTCTACCACCAGTCTCTAGAAGGCAACTTGGGCTCTTGGTGGGTTTTGGGGTGTTTTTTTTTATTTTTACTTTTAGGCATCTTAAGACTCTTCCAGCCTCAACCAATTAACCAGTTCCAAAACCACTTCCACATTTTGGATATTTGTTAGAACACCACTACCCCAGCCCACCCCACTAAGCGACACCACATATTACATCAGGTATCTAGTGATGCTATAGCAGAAATATCACCCGCAGGTGGCTTTAACTAACATAAATGTATTTCCCTGAAGTTGAGGGGGCTGGAAGTACAAATGGAAAGTGCTGGCTCTAAGTTAGGGAGCTCTGGTGGCCTAGTTAGTGTTGAGGCTCTCTGCTGGCTCTAGAGGAAGGTCTTTGTCTCTTCCAAGTCTCTTCCAAGTTTCTGCTCCTATGTAATATTCCTCTCATCTCTGCTTGCTGCTAATTTTTTACCCTCTTTGGTATCTTAAAATTTGTTGTTGTTATGGAAACAGCCCAAATGTCCAACCATAATCGAATGGCAATACTATACAGCACACAGGAGCAATGATTTTTAAAATATCTACCTAATTTAGGAGGAACTGGAGAGCATTATGCTAAGTGAACTAACTTAGTCCTGTAAGGACAAATACTGTATAAGAGCATCATTGTAGAATGTGTATGAGGATGCAAGAGGGGGAGGGTGGGAGCAGAGAGAGGAGTGAGGATGGGTGGGATGGATGGGTGTTAATCATAGGGTTGCACAATTTGATGGGTGGAGAGAGGGGTGGGTAAAGGAAATGGGAAAGATCCAGGGCTGTGGTTGCTGTATGCCTTTGACTCAGAACCAGCTCATAGCTGACTCTCCAGCAGGTTTTTAGAGGCTGTAAATCCCACAGGAGGAGCCTGCCCATCTTTCTTCCACAGAGCCACAGATGGGTTTCAATCACCTGCCTTCGGGTTGACAGACCTTAACTCCTTGCCCACTAGGGCACCAGAGCTCCCTTATCTCAAAAGAGCTTGAAACAAAGCACATCCTGCTCTAATCTTGTCCCAAACACAAAGAGATGTTAGGATTCAAAACACAAATGTGTTGGGGAACACAATGTAACTCATAACATCAAACAACTTCCCATGGAGTCAGCAGATTATGAGCTATATTAATAAACATTAGGTGAAAAGATGCACAGACTCATGTTTTGACCAGGAAGGACCCAAGAGATCTTCAAGCTCAGAGACTTTCTAGCACAGAAGTATACACAGGGGAACGTTACAAATTAGAACCTTCTGAGGTATCCTCCTCAAGGCTGGCTACATGCTGTGTTCACTTAGGAACAATCATCCAGTGCCACACTGGTGGCCTGAAGGTACTTGTCTGCACGTGTGATAGACTGAATCAAAAATTGGTCCCCTCTCACCAGCCCCCCTCACCAGGACTTGACTGTGCAGAGTGACTAAGAGCGTCAACATCATCCCTCTTCTCAGATTCTTCCACCACCCAGAACACCCTCCAGTGGAACTAACTCTTGTCAAGGCTGGTCTCGTAGGGTGCAAAAAGCTTCACCCTTGGCAGTAGCCTGAGGCACCAGTTCGCCCACTCAGTGCCAGTTACCCAACTCAGAGCAGGGCTGGTATCTATTTGTTCCCACCTCTGACCACAACTTCTACCAAGCCAGAGGCCCTTACTCACACAGAAAGCATTCACCTGCCCCCAGGCCAGAAAGTTTCTGGCACAGCAAGGTAATGTGGGGGGCTCCAGGAGCTAATGAAAAAAAGCATAGGATGTGGCGCTTCTGCCCCAGACACAGAGCTAGTTCAAGGAAAACAGCACTGGAGTCTCGAGTACAACATGCTAGTCTGAATCTCAGCTCCCCGGCACTGACAAATTATTTGCTTGCTCTCTGCCTCAGTTTTCTCAGATTCCAACATCAACGGTTTAAATGGCAAGCAACTTATATTTACCACAATGAAATTAAGGATAAATTTTTTAAAAGAAGTCAGGCGAGCTCTGGTGGCCTAGTGGCAAGAAGCTGTACTGCAATCCCAGAGGTGAGCAGTTTGAATCCATCAGATGCTCTGCTGGAGAAGGAGGGACAATCTCTTCCCATACCAGTCAGATCCAATTTGACAATACACACACACACACACACACACACACACACACAGAGTCCCTACCTCCCAGAGTGTGTAGGAAAGTTGAGTGCTTTAACAGAACACATCCCAGCTTACATGCCAAGTACCCAAAACACCCTTCACTCCTTCTCTGTGACAACAAGTGGACGGTCTCAGTTGGAGACTCCCTCTGGGAATCAGCCGCCATTTTTACAAAGTGAACATGCCAGCGGCACATGGTTCTGTTAGGTGCCATCAAGTCTATTTCAACCTAAAGCGGTCCTGTGTTGGAGGAGAATGGCCCCACTGGGCTTTCTTGGTGGTGATCTTTACAAGAAGGGGCTCTGGTGGCATAGTGGTAAGAAACTGTGCTGCCAACCCAAAGGCTTGCAGTTTGAACCTATCAGCTACTCCTGTGAGAGAAAGATGAGCAATCTCCTCCCAAGTTATTTACTGCCTCTGAAAGGACCAGCTATGGGTTATTTCCAACATGACACTATTCAACAACACATAATCTTCACAAAAGTAGGCAGATCAGTAAGCCATGCTCCCACAGAATCTGAGTGGGTTCAATCTGACAACCTTTCTGTCAGCAGTCATGTCCATAACCACTGCACCACCAGGGTTCCCTCAGCTAGGCACATCAATGCCCCACTTTCTCTTGTCAAAAGCCTCATCAACAGAATGAGCCATTCACCCAGCTCTAGATGTAAAAAAAAACCCACAAAAACAAAACAAAAACCAATGCAAGTATTACTGCGGGGTGGCTGGTCACCATAGTAAGGGGTCAAGGGTCTCTGTGGGATTTCTGGTTCTCAGAAAGGTCTGTAAGCCAGTGCCACTGCTGTGCTGCGGCTTCTGGTTGGAGGCAGGGACAGGGCAGACCTGGAGTGTCAAGCCTTCTTCCTAACAGAACAAGGATATCCCATAAAGCCTACGGGGCCATTCTATGGAAATAGAAAATCTGTTTTAGCTCCCAGCTTGAAAGGTCAACCCCATGTCCATAGGGCTTGAAATTCAAGGAAACCACTTCAAAGTCACAGGGCTACAATTGTCTTTCGTGGTTTCAACAAAAGATTACTGTAATCAGAGACCATAATGAATGGAATGATGTGGAAGAGGCCCTTCCAAAACTGTCAACTGAATCCCCGGGGAAGAATCAAATAATTTTTTAAAAGTGATTCTGATAAAGGACCCTTGGTGCTAAGTCCTCTGGGTACATGGAGAATTGGGCTACTAACTGAAAAGTTGCCAGTTTGAATTCACCAGGCATTCCAAGAGAGCCTGCTTCCACAGTGGGTGGGGGATCCGAGAAGCTGGATGCGTAATATCTTTCTGTCTCTTTCGTTCCGCTCACACATGTATACTGCTCTAATCTAAAGAGAGAACGAGATTAAACTGTCCTGGTCCTCATTTTAAAAGATTATCAAATAAATGTGGGGAAGGAGGCCGTGGGGAATGAGAAAGGAAGACGCCTGCAATACCATTTTTAAAGAAAACCGTTAGCAGCAGGAAGAAATTGCTCATCTTTTTTCTGATAAGCAGTTGGTGGATTCAAACCATCTGACTTTGGGTTGGCAGCGCAGCTCTCTCCCCATTATACCATCAGAGATCCCTTAAACACTAGCAGCAGGAGAAATATCACTATTAAAGTCCATGACTTTCACTCATCACACCTCTGTCTGCTTCCAAAGCAGATGAACATCTTACAGGAGCAATTTTAAAAAGCAATTTGGTTCTTTCTGGCATCAAGGCTTATCTTTCCTAAATATTTGTCAATGTTGACCTTCAAGGACTCAATCACCTCTAGGCTTTGGTGTGTACACCCAGAGCAGAAAATGCACCAGGGAGGGAATCATGCCGAGGTGCGGTCCGTCTGTTTAAGCCGGAGGGAGAGGCTTCTCCCCGGTAACCAAATGATTAGGTTTCAATGGCCAGCCCTCCGCAAAGAGCACTTTGCGAGATGCAAAGGGTTAAAGAAGCAAGTAAAAGAAAAGAACTCAACCTCTCAATCTGGTGGACTGAGAGGCCATTCTTCCCAGGGGACTCTCGTTTCGGGCGGGGAGGCTGAGGCTTTGTGCGCGCGCCGCCCCTCCGCGCGCCCGCCCCTCCTCCCACCGCGACCGCTCCCCCAGGGCTCCCAAGGCCACCTGCTTTCCTTAGGAGAAAAGGGGACTCCGCCAAGAGCCGTCGCAGTGCGCGGTGGGCGTCCCCGGCGGTGCCCCTCTCCCTCCCCGGGAAGGAGAAGGAGGCGTCTCCGGGAAGCGTGCTTTGTCGCCAGGGTTGCGCGGCCACCCGCAGTGGCCCCGGAGGCCTGAGCGAGGTTTTGCCCCGGGCTCCACTCAAGGGGCTCCTCCGAGGGACCTAAGGTCCAAGCGGAGCGGGATCTCTGCGCTCAGCGCCCGCCCCGGGCCCTGGCTCAGCCAGCCAGCGGCGTCCGGGCTCCACCCCGCCCACCCGGCCGGGCTAACGGCGCTGCGCCCGGGCAGCCTCTCCATCCCGCCTCCGGCCGCGCGGCACCTGCTCGGTGGCGCCCGCCCCCGGCTCTTATGCAGAGCGCGCGGACTGTCGTGCCGGGCCGCCCCGAAAGTCCCGCGCCTGAGAGTGGGGACCGGGGTGGGGGGGCCCTTCGCCTAAGCAGGAGTGAGGGGTTGTTGCCCTGGGTGCCCGTCCCCCGGGGCCGAGCCCTGCCCCGCGCTCCCGCAACGCCCCCACGCCGGCGCCCACCGCGGCAGGGGCCGCAGCCAGGGGCCCACCCCACCCGCGCCCCATACCTTGTGCGGCGCCCGCAGCAGCCGGTGTACCCCGGCCAGTTGGGTGCCGAGCGCGAGGTCCTCCCGGAAGGTGAACAGCGGCGGCCGGCTGGGCTCGGGGAAGTTGGTGCTGTTGAAAGGATCCGTGTCGTCCAAGAACTGCACCCGGCAGGCCAGCGTGGCCATGATGCATCCCTGCCGCAGGGGCGCGAGCCCCGGGCTGAGCGGGGCCGCGGGCCGGGACGCCCGAGTCGCTGCGCGCAGG